CAGGCCAAATCCAAGAAGACAATCGGCCAGGTTCATGCACAAAAAAAAGAACGTAGCCCAAAACAAAAACCTGAGCCTACTGGTAAACAAAAGAGTTGTCAGAAAAGGCTATCTTGTGAAAAAGCTAACCTTAAGCCAAGAAGAGCAGTTGAGTAGCTCAGTTGGAGGCCAAGTTAGCTCAATCTAGTAGCCCATTAGTAGAGCACAAGCAGACACCAACTAAGAACTAAGAACAGGTTAGATTTCATCTGTCACCAGTGTGTGAAACCTGGTCATGTTGCATATTATTGCAAGGCTATTTTGCCAGGGCAGGCGCAAGGCCAAGCAGTGAGTGGTGCAGAGACTAACCAGACTATGAACACCTAGAACCTGTGGTCACTGGGGCAACCATGGGTTGTCAGCAAAGTCCCCCTGGTGTTTATGCAGCTGTCACTCAAAATTCTAAAGACACACCACTTGTGGGCCCCAGTAATGAAGGAGAAGTGACTGTGAATGGAACAGTATGTCGAGCTCTCTTTGATGCAGGATCTCAAGTCACAACTATCACTGATAAGTTTTGGAAAGAACACGCCCGGCTTTGTTCACAGAGTCTCAAGCCCAGAGATGTCCCCATAGAGGGAGCAGCAGGCCAACAGGCTTCACATTATGGTGTGCTCCATTTCCTTGATACTACATTTAACAATGTCCCAGCTTTTGTTGTTCCAGAAACAGAATACAGAACAAGTGTCCCCTTACTCATAGGCACCAATGTGATTCATGCTTCTAATTCAATTCATGCAGCTGCATTTTTAGTAGAAGGTGTTTTGGGAATGGCTGGTGAAGAGAGCAGTCAGACAGTTAGACAGAGTTTGAGCACCCTGATTCTAAACCAATAGCAGAATCCTTTCCAACTATCTAGAGTGTTGTCCAGCTGAAGAGATGAGACGTACAGCTCAAACATATGATATCCCGACACAAACCCAGCTCACCTATCCAACTCACGCCAAGCCCATATCCAGTATCAAACTCCACTACATCCACTCCAGCAGGTGTTTCTGACAGCTGTTCTTATGTGGTGAAGCGTCACTCAAACTAGACCTCCCCAGATATGGCAGTTCAGAGCAAGATCCTGTGGCTTTTATTGAAAGATGTGAGGAGTATCTAGCTGTGAGACCCTTCAGTGATCCAGAGATTTTAGCCACTTTGCCATCTATTTTATCAGATGAGTTGGCCACCTGTATGCACCGACATACTACCTTTTGGTCTAATGCTGCAGCTACATTCCAGAGTTTGATTAATTCTGTGCTTAAAGATGTCACAGGCTATACTGATGACATTGTGGTCTATTCCAGCTCTGTTGAACAGCACCTCACCCACCGTCAACATCTTTTTAGCCTGTTGGAGAAAGCCAGTCTTACCCTCAATCTCAAAAAATGAAATCTTTTACAAAAATCTCTCATATATCTCGGTCATATCATCTCAGGTGAAGAAATCAAGACAGAAGCAGCCAAAGTCCAAGCAGTGAGGAACTTCCCAGTGCCTCGCAATGTCAAAAAAGTGCAAAGGTTCCTGGGGCTCGCAGGTTGGTATCACAGATTCATAACCACTGTGCAGCACCACTCCATGCCCTGAAAATGAAGGGGATTGTCTGGGAATGGACCAGTGACTACCAACAAGCCTTCGATGACATCAAAACTGCTATGATAAAGGCACCTGTCTTAAGCGCTCCTAATTTTAACATGTCCTTTAAAGTACAGACCGACACTAGTGAAGTAGGTTTGGGCGCAGTCCTCACACAACGCTGGGATGGAGCTGAACATGTAATTGCTTATGCTTCATAATTGCTGAATAGTGCTGAAAAGAACTATTTCTGAAAAGGAGTGTCTAGCAGTTGTGTGGGCTGCAGTGCCTTGAAGGGTGACATTTCGGCGTGTTCACTGACCATGCTGCTTTGACCTGGGTGTTCAACCAGCCTTGACCATCCTCAGATCTCACAAGGTGGGCCATATGTTTGCAAGCAGTTGATTTTAACGTGCACTACCATAAAGGGAGATGTAGTCCCAGACTCACTCTCTCACAGTATGCTTGTAGTTGAGCCCTGTCTCCTAGCTACTCACCATTCTCTTTCTCAAGGCGAAGACTTACTGATTACCTGGGAGGAGATTGGCAAACATCAGAAGAAAGATCCTGCACTTCAACCCTTATGGCAAGCCACAAAAGATACAGATGAATCCCCCAACTGCAATATGTAGAGCACAATGGGTATCTGTTCCGAAGCAGAATTAACACCCAACAAGGACAAATACTTAAACTACTAATACCCACCGTGTTAAGACCAAAACTCCTTCTCTTTGCCTATTATAATCCCCTTAAGCAGTGATCTTGGTCGCATGCAAACCTTGAGGAGGTTACTCGATGTGGCTTACTGGCCTAAAATACGCAAACATGTATGGATGCACTGCAAGCAATGCACTACCTGTTAATGCTTCAAACCAACATTGTCCAAATTATCAGGGTTACTGCAATCCACACCTGTTGTAGAGCCTGGCCATATGTTAGGTACTGATCTCATAAGTCCGTTTCCACACAGCAGCAAGACAAAGAACATCTGGTGGTAGTCATTGATTACTGCAGTAAATGGGTTGAACTATTTCCCATCCATACTGCCCGAGCACCGCGATTCACATCTCAGTTGTTAGACACCATCTGTAAAGAGTGGGGAGTGATACAGAAACTCACTGCCGCCTATCACCCACAGACTAATTTAACCGAGAGAGTGAACCAGACCTTAAAAACCGTGACTGCATCCTTTGTCAAAGATAATCACTGTGCTTGGGCCGCTGGATTCTAGAATTCAGATTCGCAATAAATTCTGCTTGGCACAAGAGCACTAACCAAACAACGGCCGAAATTGCTTTAGATACGCAAGCTCAAAGGACCATTAAAATGCCTTGTACAAAAACCACCCAATCCTGACCAGTCTGCATATGAGCATATCGGACTCTACTGAATAGAGTTAGAGCCAGTATAGTTAAGACACAGGCCCGAAAAACGAGGTAGTACAACACTCACCATATGAGCGAATGCTTGACACACCAGATCAACATGTTATTTACCATGTTGAAAATATTCAAACATTTTACAGCTTGGTAAAGCCTTCTCTCATGGTAATTACTACCCCATCCACTATGTGGCAGTACTGCGGTGGGAGATCAGTTTACAAGCCAAAAGGAGATCAATGACGTAGCATTGTAGGCTTAGTGGAACTGGTTGGCTCCATGCCTCATTGCTGTATTATGAAGACCCTTGTTTGAGGAACCTGTAGGTTCATATACTCAATATAAGTTTGTTATTGTTTAATTATAGGTATATTCAGATGATTTTTGTGTATGTTTTATTCTCATGAAGGCTTGTTCTGTTTTCTTTTGCAGAAGGGTTCTTTTTTTTCTTGTCTTTTTGTTTTGTTTCTTTCTCTCTTTGCTCACCCTACCAACAAGTTGCTCCTCATATGGACCTTGTTTGTTTCGTTGTTTGTTTGTTTATTTATTTATTTATTTGTGGCTTTGATGCAGCTCAGGTATCCCTTTTTGATTCTGATAACATGTTTACAAGGTCATAACTGTTAGTGCTTGCCTGAGTTAGGCCATGCATATCATAACACTCCCATAGCAGCACTCGTCTGGCCCCTTTTGTATTTGGGGTTTGATTGGCTTTCAATCAAAAAGTGGGGGCGTGTCTAGCGGATGACTAGTAAGTGGGAGAAAAGCCGCTGTAGCCAACTTCAGTTTGCTCATAGAACAGCTAAAGCACAGAAGTAGCCTAGAAGTACCTAGACACCAAGCTTGCTCAAGTTTTATTGGCACCCACAAAGCGACCAACAGTCAGTGGGTCAACAGTTGCCTTGCTGCAATGTACAAACTCAGTTCCAAAAAAGTTGGACTGCCGACCAGGGTGTAGGAGTGGGTGCAGTTTATTTTAGCCCATGTTTTTTTCCCATTTTTTGGCTTAGTCAAGGAGTTAGGGAAGACTGTGTGTACATTTGTTTGTTTATTTTCATGTAGGCAAGTTAGTTCTCTAATCCCCCAGCTAGACAGGTTATGCTTGTTGTTTTGGCACATAGCCAGTCTGACATCTGTCCTGTGTTGGTTTACAAAAAAAAAAAGCAGAAAAAGAAAAGAAAAAATAACACAACATGATCTGTTTAAATGCTGAATTGCTCTCTGTTGTGTTCATGTTATGGCTATTGCAAAACCCTTTCCACAGGTCATAACATTATTGTTTTGCACTTTGTGTTTAGTGTGATATATTACACTTGCTTATTAAATATCACACCAGTTTTCGTTTCCTGAGAGTGAAATCGCACAAAAAAGTTGCTTAGAGTGTGATAATGTCAGCTATGGTGCTGACACCATAGAGAAAGATGCCTGTCTTTCTTGGTGACTGCTAAATTAAGCCAAATCACAGCAGAGGCTGTATATTGCACTATAGGCTTACACATTTGCTCATCACTGTTCCTCTTAGCTTTCCCACATTTACATTTCTTTAGGACTGTATTTATATGACATTATTGCTGAAGTTACAATACATGGTTGCTTTTACTTACTTCTCAAGTAATTTTTTGTAAAACGTAACGTCAGAAAACATGACTGAGAGCAGACAAATGATTGCTGACTTAAATCAGACAATGACTCTTAAAAATAATAGTCATTTAAATAATCTGTATGTGCATGTTGCTTCCACAAAAAGTGAGGGTGGATCAAAAAGAAAAAAAGTACAAGGATCCAACTTGGAGAGCTTGATGCTACAAACACAGATGTCTGCTTGACATGGGGGTCACAAAGTTTCCAAAGCAATAACAAACAAATTCAACAGGACAAACGTCTTGACTCTCAACAAACCATAAATGTAAGCATATGCAGTTTCTTAAAAGTCAAGGCAGTATGAAACCACAACTCGAACTTTCCTGCCACAAAAATCAGCAGTCTGTTCATGCAGAAATTGTTTCCAATGTTTAATTCTTTTTATTCATCAGGGTCAACTTTAGACATTATTCTTAATAATTTATTTCTGATCTCTTTAGTTCTAAAGCAGTATACGAAAGGATTTAACAAGGAAGGACCAAGAATTGTCCCAACTCTCAAACCATTTCGTTCCTCCACTGTTAAGTTTAATCCTACTCTAGTCAAAACTACTAGTACAAATATGGGTCCATAATAGCAAACTATGACTATTAAGTGACTAAAGCAAGTATTAAACACCTTCTTCTTACTAGTATTTGAGGTCATTTTTATGACAACAATAACTATTTTAATATAAGACACACAAATAAAGCTGAATGTTCCAAACAGCAAGAAGAAGGTCAAAGCTGTCATTAAATTGAAATATGGATTTGGATCAACACAAGTTGCTCTGGCAACAGCTGCATAATCACAAAAAATGTATTTCAGACTTGAGTAACAAAATGGCAGAGGAAGAAGAGTTCCAGGCACTATAGCCATAGAAGCAGAACCCAGAATCCAAAGCAAGAAAGTGAGCAGAACAGAGCGGGAATTTGTCAGAATGGAATGGTACCGCAATGGGTTGACTATGGCAATTAAACGGTCAAACGCCATGATAGAAATAGTAAACAGCTCCATCACAAAACCTAACCCAAAAGCAAACATCTGAAGAAAACAGGGTAGATATGATATGGTTTTATATCCAGCTAGAAGAACACCTATCATGGTTGGACATGAACTTGTACAGTGTAGCATGTCCACAATTGCTAAATTGCAGATGAAAAGGTACATTGGCTGATGAAGACGTTGATCCAACATAATGAAGCATATGTTTGCAATGTTACTAAGCATGACAAGGATGTAAACTATAAGTATAACAATACCAACAGCAACTGGCTTTTCTAAAGTGTCAAATCCTGTGATAACAAATTCAGAGATTGTGTTTCTAGAAACATTTTGAGCCATCGTCCACTAAATTCTCCAACCTTTATGCTTTGCCTTCAAAGTTCCCAGTATATTGATGTAAAGCAGTTCTTCAGTTTGTACTTTGAAGTTGGTTTATTGACTGATGCCACTGAGGTACAGTGAGCCTGGTATCTATCTGTGTGGCATTTATATAGCTGTTTGCTCATTGCCTTTTCTAATTACGTCTTCCATTTGTTCCCAGTGCACACACTTGACAGCAAACTTAATTTAGTGCTCTGTTAAGATTCTCCAAGGACCAGCTTAGCTTGTTTGACCTCTTGGGCAAACTGCCATTAGATCATACTAACCTTCTGAACATAGGCCTGTATTATTATTGATCTGTATTCTTCACCGATCACATTTCATTATGACGAATGTTATCAAATTCAGTAAATGGTCACATTTGATGTTGGCCTTTATTCATCAAAGTCATGTGAATTCAAGTGTCAATGTAAAAAGAGCACACAAAAGAGCATTCATTTCATCAATGATCATACTCACTTCTTACTCCTATATCAACTTAAAAATACACACGTCTGATTTGTGACTAAGATATCCCAATCTTTATCAATATAATCAATAATATCAATAAAAATAGAACATGCAGATCAATGTATTAATAACTGTGCACATTGTTATATGATGACAGCATGAACAGCTCACAGAGTAGCAAATCCAACAAGGTACTATGGGCCACTTCCCGCAATCCCAGAAAGACTATTAGACCTAAGCTCCACATGAGAAATGTTGAAGGCTGCATAGCCAACAACAACTCTAGCCATTCCATAGCAGTGCAGAGAAAACTCACTAGTCACCACTTGCCGCAACCCCACCACCTACGCAGAATAGGAGCACCCTGATTCTAAACTAAAGGCAGAATCCTTTTCAGTGAACTAGAGATAGTTGGAAGAGTCCAACTCGCCCTCATGATAAGCCACTGGCCACCAAGCCTGACCTCCCTGGAGCTGTCCTCCTACAAGCTTTGTTAGCAGAACTGGAGATGAGGATAATTTCCCCTTAACCTATTGTCAAATCTGTTTTTTGTCAGATCATGGCTGATTTGCTCTCACTGCTTTTGCAGTACCAACAAAAGACCAAATACCTGTTGCAAATCCCAGAGAGAATTCTTATAGACCAGGGGCCAGTATTTTATACAGTGCTTGCTCAAAAATTTTGCCCCTTAGGATGCAGCTAGATTTAGACCACCTCTAATGGAATGGTGTTTGGTGGTACATGGGGAATCAAACCCTCTTTAAGCAGCTGAACGTCCTTCAACCAGTTGTGGCTAACTTGAATTAGGCCATGCATATAATAACACTCGAATAGCAACACTTGTGTGGCTGCTTTGTATATGGAGTGTGGTTGGCTTTCTGGTCGTCAAGAAGTGAGGTTGTGGCTAGTGGAGGACTAGTGAGTGGGAGAATAGGCACTGTAGCCAACTTCAGTTTGCTTATAGAATAGCTAAAGCATAGAAGTAGTCTAGAACTCTACCTAGACACCTACTTGTTCACACTTTATTGGTGCCCACAAAGCGACCAATAGTCAGTGAGTCAACAGTTGCCTTGCTGCAATGTACAAACTCAGTTCCAAAAACAGTTAAACAACAATTTCTGTAACTCTCTTATAACTGCTAACCCGGGTGTAGGAGTGGGTGCCATTTCTTTTGGCCCATGATTTTTTCCCCTTTTTTGGCCTAGTCAGGGAGATAGGGAAGACTGATTTGTACACTTTACGTTTATACTTTATTTTCATGTTGACAAGTTAGTTCTCTAATCCCTCAACTAGACTGGTCATGCTTGCTGTTCTGGCGCATGCCCACTCTGACATCTGTCCTGTGTTGTTTTACAGCAGAAAAGAAAGAAAAAAAAAAACACAACTTGATCTGTTTAAACACTGAATTGCTCTCTGTTGTGTGACTATTGCAAAACCCTTACAGGTCATAACAGTATTGTTTCACACTCATGTTTTTTGTGTTGCACCATGGTCCCAGAGGAACATTATTATTTTTTACTGTGTACTTTTATATAGCTGAAATAACAATAAATCCTCATGAACTTGAAAACTCATATAAATCTTCATTCAGACAAATATTAGTGTGATACACCTGACTTGCTAATATCAGCGCTGTGAAATTAGCAGTGTTTTAGTATCAAAGGCATTTAGCAATTTTGTAAAAGACAGATTATGGTTTCAAAATAAGAGCAAAAAAATCTTTAAAAAAGAGTATATTTATAAAAAGAAACAATGTAATAATTTAAAAAAATAAACATTTAAATTTCTAAGATAATTTTTTTTTGTTCAAATACAGGTCAAAGCAGACTTACAAATCACAGTATTGTTTTTTATTTTTTATTTTATTTTTTTGCGTTTTAACTACTGTTACAATAAGGTTTATAAATGTAGTATTAGAGAAATAGAGCTGGGCTGGACGTTCCTGAATAGCATGTGTCTACATGTATATCCTTAAGAAAAAAATAAGGCCAATTTTGGAATGGTGAAATTACATGTTTTGTACTCAACAAAGAACACATATGCACATTTTAATGCACAATTACTGTTTATTTGCTGGATTTAACATATTGAGGGCAAAATATGACATAAAATGTGTCACGTGCAAAAGTTGTGACAACTTTTATATTTAATGTTTTTTTCCACTTTATTTAACCCAGTAAATAAATAAAAAATATCCAGCTTTTGCAGAAAAAAATGCCATCTTTATGTTTCTTCCCTGTAGAGCATGTTTTAACATTTTCACTCAGAAAATCAACAAAACATGTAATTCGACTGGTGTTTTTCAAACTTATACATTGACTGCATATTTTTATTGGGGGAAAAAATACAACATAAAATGTGGAATGTGCAACATTTATGGCTTATTCTATATTTTATGTTTTTCCAATTTGTTTAGCCCAGAAAATGCATAGAAACTGTTCAGCAAAATCTGCAGAGAAATGCCACATTTAAGTTTGTTCCCTGTAGCTGTTGTGTTGACTTAATAAAACTTCAGCAAGACATATAATTTGACTTGGGGTTTTCAAACCTTTGCATATGTCTGCATATTTTACTATGCAGTGTCTTGCTGCTACTCTTCATAAGCCTCTGTTGTAGCAACACCACCAAATACTGTCTTCCAAGTTACAGAAATGAATGTTCAAATTTTGAGGAAATTTTGTGCAACATTAAAATGACAAATTGCCTATTTATTGTATTTTTTAAACAAAAAGACATAGAGAAGATACTTCTGATGAGCAAGGCACACCTGAAAATAAACAAACAAAAAAACTACTTTGTTAAACATCAATCAAGGAGGCCAATGAACAATTTTTCATTTCTGTGACTTATTAATTCTGTTCCACAAAACTTAAAAGGCTTTAAATGTATTGCTTTCTTTTTTCAGCAAATATAGCTTTTGAAATCAATTTAAATAATTTCTTTCGGATCTCCTTGGTCCTGAAACAATATATGAAAGGATTTATTAGAGAGGGTCCCAGAATTGAGCCAACTATCAGCCCATTTCGTTCCTCCATTGTTAAAACTACACCAATCCTGGTCAGCACTGTTCGTATGAATGTGGGTGCATAGAAGCAGATTACGACTATCAAGTGACTAAAGCAGGTATTAAATGCTTTTTTCTTGTCACTCTTTGAAGTCATTCTCGCAACAACAATAACAATCTTTATATAGGACAGGCAGATGAAACTGAACATTCCAAAAATGAGAACCGACGTTAAAATTGATAACATATTAAAATATGGTTCAGGATCAACACAAGTTGCCCTGATAACAGATGCATAGTCACAAAACATGTACTTCACAGTTGAGTAACAGACTTGAAGAGGGACAACAGTAGCAGGAAGCACTGCCATAATTGCAGAACCTGCCAACCACAGTACAATAGAGATCAGAACACAACGCACATTTGTCAGAATAGAATGGTACCGTAAAGGAGTGCTTATAGCAATAAAACGGTCAAATGCCATGACCGAAATAGCAAACGCTTCCATCAAACTACAGAAATAGAATAGAAACATTTGAACAATGCAGGGTGCATAAGATATGGAATTATGTCTAACTACAAGGACACCTATCATGGTTGGGCATGCACTGGTACAGAAGACTATGTCTACAAGTGCTAAATTACAGATAAACAGATACATTTGCTGGTGCAAACGTTTATCCATAACAATGAAGCATATATTAGCAGTGTTAGTAATCATAACAAGAATGTACAGTATCAGCATTACAACACCAACAACCAGTGGACTTTGCACTGTGTCAAATCCTTTGAAGACAAATTCAGTGATGGCTTGTCTGGAAATGTTTTGAAACGACATGGTGTGTTATTCTCAATGTAGCAATTTAGTCCTCTAACCCTAAGATCCAAATCTATATTTTCTAGACATCAAAGCATTGCAATGTGATGTACAGTAAAAAAGCAAATATTTAACAAGTATCCATAAAGCGTTAGAAATCCTCATCACTGCAGATTTGTTTCTGCAATTATAAATTCACAGTTGGATTTTCTGATGATGGCATCAACACCTGTGGTAGATCTCAGTGTAAAACACAGGTAAAAACTGTTGAATAGAGGGGTTCAGCCTCCATTTATATAGAAAACCATACTAAGTATGAAGAGGCTCACTGGTGAATCAGAAAACGTAAGCAGGTTGGGGAGAGTTTGGAAGGGTTTGGGAGGGGCTTAAACGCACTTCAACAATTCATTGGGAATAAACATAACATTTGAGTTTTGTTCTTTTTTATGTGTACTGATTTTACATTTATAGGTTTATTTGGAGCTGTCTGAAAGAAAACAAAGAAAAATTCTTTGGGGGAAAAAAGAGATTATGATTCCCAGGGAGGAGATGGGGTGGCAGTGGGGACTGCAAACACTTCAGCACAGGAAAAAACAGAAAGTGAGGATGTGAATTTATTGGGTTTTAGATTGCAAGAAGGAAGGTTTTGGCCATGTTCATCCCCCCAACTCCGTTATAACATAATTAATTTATGTAAACCATAGATACTGTAAAAGTTAATCATAGTCAGCTCGACTGACAGTATAAAAAGAACATAACTGCTATTTGAATTGCTATATAGCTGTCACGCATCGGGAAGATTCGGACTTCATTTCCCAGCAAGCATGTGGAGATCACATGTCAAAACAACTTCCCTCGGACTCGGAAACCGAAACAGACTCCATTGCCCGCAATCCTTCAGGAGATCACATGACATCAGACAATAGCACACGCACCTATCAGCGTTCCCGATCGCCTGAATACTAATGTTGTGCACCTGTGTATCTTGTCATATGACCGTATTAGTTCAGTATATAAGCCCGGGCTTTAGATGTAGACATTGCGAGGTATTGTTTATTCCAAGAACTTACCGAGCGTTATATTTCTGATTGTCTTTGCCTGTTATGACCTGTGCTTTGTTTCCCTGACCTTGTTTTTTTGCCTAACCCCTTGGTACTTCTGCCTGCTGTTTGTGGATCTGTGTTTTTGACGTTTTGGCTTGCTCTTTGACCACGATTTTTGCTTTATCCCTTTGATCTTGACTGCCTGGTATTATTATCACAATTGTGATCTGGTTGGCTTTTTTGGATTTGACCCACGCCTGTTTTCTGACCACGGCTTTGCCTGACGATAATAAAACAACTGTTGCTCCTTTTATCCGCGAGCGTCTGAATTCTGTTGAATCGTCACAGAATACCTCGCCCAACATGCAGACGGCGGACCCGGAAGCCTTTCAAAAGGCTCTTACTGAACAAGGGCAACTTCTTGGACGACACCAGCAGGTCCTGTCAGGAGTGACTCAGTCCCTGGAGTCCATCGCTCACCAACAGGCAGAACAGCAGGCTCAGTTGGCCCAACTGGTCGCCAGTGTGCGAGGATTAACGGGCCAATTATAGAGTATGAGTCTCACTGAAGATTGCTTTCATAGTCTCTAGATTAGCTGCGAAAGCTTTAGAATGGGCTACCGCTAGCTGGACTCAGATACACCGTCTCACTTATGAACTTTTTATCAAGGACTTTAAGATGGTGTTTGATCATCCATACGAGGGTAAGGTTAGCGGGGAATTATTAATGAAGCTCCGTCAGGGGAATCGCTCTGTGGTGGACTATTCATTAGAATTTCGAACCCTAGCTGCGAGCAGCGGCTGGAATGAGGCAGCCCTTCTCGTTATGTTCCGCCAAGGACTGAATGCCGAAATATTAAGTGAACTAGCGAGTAAAGATGATGATTTAACGCTAGATCAGTTAATAACTCTAGCCATTAAATTAGACCATCTGATACATCACCGTAACACAGCCAAGGCTGGAAGAAACCCGCGAAGATCACTACCTCGTGTAAAGTTCGGTCAGGAGCTCAGTGAGAGTCCCGAACCTATGCAGTGTGACTCCTCCCGTTTATCGCGAGAAGAAAGGCAGCGCCGTTTGGAAAATCATCTATGTTTGTATTGTGGAAAGGCTGGACACCAAGTTCGTGAATGCCGCGCCCGACCACAAAAAAGCACAGCGCCGACCCCTGGACAGCACGTGGAGTTCACTCCACGTGCTAATGTGGTGAGTGTGCCCACAAAGGGGTTGGTGTCTAAATCTGTAATGTTGCCAGTGATTATCTACTGTCATCCAAACTCTCTTATCGTTTCAGCCTTGATCGATTCCGGTGCGGAGGGGAACTTCATCCATGCCAGACTGGTGGAAGAACTACAAGTTCCCGTGAAGACCCTTCAAACCAAGCTTAAAGTGGCTGCTTTGGACGGAGGACCAGTAGGAGTTGGCACCATCTGCCAAGTCACGAGTCCATTAGAACTAGAAACAAGTGCCCTACACAAAGAAGCTCTGTCCTTCCTCGTACTGGAAAATTCAGAATTTGAGTTAATCCTAGGACTCCCTTGGTTGGAAAAACATAATCCCATTATCTCCTGGTCCGAACACACTATCACTAGATGGTCTGAATATTGCCTTCAGTCATGCCTGAGTACTCCTTCCTTATCCCTATGTTCTACCTCGGTGGAAAGTCCAAACGCTGAGTCCGTTTTTGAAATCATCCCTGAATACCTTGATTTGAAAGAAGTGTTCAACAAACAGAACGCCACCAAACTGCCGCCTCATAGACCCTATGATTGCGCTATAGAGCTCATAGAAAACCCTGTTTTCCCCAAAGCCAGGATTTATCCTCTGACCCAAGATGAGCAGAAGGCTCTCAACGTCTACATCCAAGAAGCCCTCAGTCAAGGATTCATTAGACCATCCACATCCCCCATAGCCTCCAGTTTTTTTTTTATAAAGAAAAAAGATGGCGGCCTCCGTCCTTGCATTGATTATAGAGCCCTCAATCAAATTTCCAAGGTCTATCCATATCCTCTTCCATTGGTGCCGGTCGCCTTGGAACAACTTCAGGGGGCCAAGTATTTCACCAAGTTAGACTTACGTAGCGCATATAATCTTATTAGGGTGAAGGAGGGTGATGAGTGGAAGACTGCCTTTTTGACCACCAGGGGGCACTACGAATATCAGGTAATGCCATTTGGGCTCTCTATCGCCCCCTCTGTATTTCAAGCATTTATTAATGATGTTCTCAGAGACATGTTAGGACACTATGTCATCGCATACCTGGACGATATCCTTGTCTATTCACCCAACTTAGAGTTACATGTACAACACGTTCGATCGGTTCTACGTAGACTCTTGCAGAATAATCTGTTTTTAAAAGGGGAAAAATGTGAGTTCCATTTACAGTCCGTGTCGTTCCTAGGGTACATCATTAGTCAGCAAGGCGTCACTATGGACGATCACAAAGTGGATGCCGTGGTTCAGTGGCCAACCCCCAAGTCTGTCAAAGATGTGCAGCGATTTCTGGGTTTTGCTAACTTTTATCGTAGGTTTATTCGTAATTTTAGTAGTATCGCTGCCCCTCTCACATCTTTGTTAAAGGGAAACCCCAAGAGAATCACATGGAATGCACAAACAGAGAAAGCCTTCCAGCGACTCAAAGAGGCGTTCACCTCCGCTCCTATTCTTAAACACCCTGACCCTGCCCAACCATTTGTGGTAGAGGTGGATGCCTCGGAAACCGGCGTGGGCGCAGTTTTATCCCAACGGACTGGCTCTCCTCAGAAACTACACCCCATCGCTTTTTACTCACATAAGTTATCCCCCGCTGAGAAAAATTACGGGATAGGGGATCGAGAGTTGCTGGCAGTCAAGCTGGCCCTGGAGGAATGGAGACATTGGCTGGAGGGAGCCAATCACCCTTTTTCAGTAATCACGGACCATAAGAACTTGGAATATCTCCGTAATGCGAAAAGGCTAAATCCTCGTCAAGCCAGGTGGTCTCTGTTCTTTGCTAGGTTTCGGTTTAGCATCACATATCGACCTGGCTCTCGCAACATTAAGGCAGATGCCTTGTCCCGCCTTCATCAGGGGGAAAAGACCACACCAGGCCCGGAGAACCCAGAACGCATTCTGCCCCCTGAAGTCACCATATCTTCTATTCGATGGGAGATAGATGAGGCAATAGAAAGAACCAATTGCGGTCTAGACTTACCCAGCCAATGCCCCCCAGATAAGTTGTATGTACCAGAAGCTTTCCGCACACAGCTTATTACATGGGCTCATTCATCTTTGACGTCAGGACATCCAGGGGAAACCCGCACACACAAACTCCTAGCACAACGCTATTGGTGGGAATCCATGACCAGAGACATACACACATTGGTCTCTTCCTGCTCCATTTGTTCTCAGTGCAAGACACCCAAGACGTTACCTGCAGGAAAGCTAATGCCACTACCCGTACCTCACAGACCGTGGTCCCACCTCGCTGTAGACTTTGTAACTGACCTGCCAGAATCACAAGGGTTTACCACCATTCTTACTGTGGTGGACCGATTCTCCAGAGGGGTACGGTTCGTACCTTTCCCAGCTATTCCCAGTGCCTTTCAGACAGCTTTAACCTTGTTTCAACAGGTTTTTCGTAATTTTGGAATTCCTGAAGACATAGTTTCTGACAGGGGGCCTCAGTTCACCTCTCAGGTATGGGCAGCATTCTTCGAACAGATTGGGGTGTCAATTAGTCTCACTTCAGGGTATCACCCACAAGCTAATGGACAGTGTGAGAGGGTGAATCAAGAACTGGGAAAGTTTTTACGATTGTTCTGTCATGACAATCCCTCTGACTGGGCTAGATATTTGGTATGGGCAGAAATGGCCCAAAACTCTTTAACCAGTTCTGTCACGGGGATGACCCCTTTTCAGTGCTTCCTAGGCTACCAGCCACCCTTAGCTCCATGGACTGGTGCGCAGACGGACGTTCCGGCAGTAGATGAATGGAT